ATCCCTTTTTAGGAGTTTAGGAAGAGCCCCCCTTTGAAATGTGGGGGGAAATTTTGTGAGGCAGTAGTAAATGAAAAAGGGGAAAGGGAGCCGGGGTTGATGGGGTTTAAAAATAGAAATGGGAAAAAAACAGGTGGGGGTATAGTTTTGGAAATGGGGTTTGGGGCCCAAATTTTTTAATAAATGTTTTGGAAAAGGGTTTTGGTACCCCTTGGGATTGGCAGAGGCAAGCATATTCCCTTTTTATAAAGGCAAAAAGGGGGAAAAAAGGGGTGCAAAAAAATAGGGGGTAAGTCTGTTGAGTATAAACCCGGTTAAAAATGTATGGTGAGTTTTTAATTAAAGAATTAAAAAAAAAATAAGACGGGGAAAAAGGGTAGCGATGGGAAAAAGGAGGCCCTTTTTGGAAAAAGGGAAAAGGGGGGGGGTGGGAAACCCGGTGTTTACAGTGAAAACATATAAGGGGAACAGTATTTAGATAAGGCTAAAGGGTTTTTTGTGGGATTTATGGGGTTTGGAAAAGGGGGTATGACCCGGGTGGATAAAGGGGGGGGAATGTGGCAGATGTTGCGGTGTATGGTGTAGGAGGTGGTTCCGAAAGCAGTGAAGAGTTTTTACGAGGAAGTGAGGCTAATTTAGAGTACGGGAAAGAGGGAAATTATTTCCCGTAAAAGTAGGCCTTAGAAAAGGATTTGATGCCCCGGGTTTTTTAATAATTTATAGATGGGGTTGTAAGAGAAAAAATGGGGCTTGACAAGGGCGTGAGTTAAAAGATAAAGAATCACCATAAGGGGAGTTGTCACAGTTGTCTTTGCTTGACACTGTGCTTTGGGAGATTCTGAAGAGAAGTTGCAGAGTTTTGGTGGATGAATTTGGTAGGGTGTTTACCGGGGTTTTTCCTGGAGAGATTTCCCGGGGGGTAAAACGCCCCCGCGGCCCGGTCGTGACCGGGCCTCCTGAAGAAAATTAAAAGTGAATACAGGAAAAGTAAGGGTTATGAGGATAAAAAAATATTTGGGGATGAAAGATTGGGGGGGCAGATTGGAGGGAGAGAGTATGGGGAGGGGAATGTTTCAGATATTGGGGGGACGTTTCAGCGGGGGGTCTTGAAAGGGTGAGGTGAAACATGAAAGATGAGGGGGAAAAGGGTGAGTGGTGCGCTTAGGAGTTTTGGAGACAAAAAACTTTGTCCTTGGGGCAAAAAAGGGGAATGTAGAGAGTAAGTTTTTTCCCAAAACCTTTTATGGGTGGAAGATGGGTGAGAATGTTTTTCAGCGAGGAGAAGGGAGGAGGGAGTGGAGATGTTCAGTCTAGGGGAATGTGTGGGTGAAAAAAAATGCAGAGAATTCGTTTGTTGGAAGTTTGGAGGAGGTGCGGATTTCCAAAACGTTTTTCCAAGGGGGTGAGGAAGGGGTTTTTGAGGTGGTTCGGACATGTAGAGAGAATGGAGGAACAGAAGCTTTAAGAGTGTATCATCTGAGTGGGGAAAGGAAGGGGGGTAGGGGGCGGCCTAGGAAAGGTTGGAGGGAGGGGGTAAAGGAGGGTTTTTGTGGGGGGGGCTTTGGGCTTCCCAGAGGCTGCGTGAGCGATTGTAGGATGAATGGAGACGAAGGTTTTTTAAAACTTGACGTGCGTTTGGGGTGGAGCAAAGTAACTTTTTGAAGGGGTTCGGGAAAACCGGCGGGGCCGGACTTGGCCCCTGGAGGGGAAAAAAAAAGTACAAGCCTGCACTCAAAGGGAGGGGTGTTAATTTGCGTTTAAAAACTGAGTGTAAGCCCCCCTTCGGCAAGACAGTGATGGAGTGAATGATGGTGAAAGTTTTTTTTTTTCGGGCCCCCCCTCCCTTTGGGTGGGAATGGCCGTGTGATAATAAAAAAAAAAAAAATACTTTTGGGGAACTTCAGGAGGATTTAGACAAATTTACTCTTGGTAGAAAAGGGCAGTGCAGTTCAATGTAGATAAAGCAAGTTCTGAAGCTGGGGGAGTGTCCATAACCCTAGCACTTAAAGTTAAATAATGTAGAACTTAGCCATACAGATTTGCGAAAAGGATTTTGAGGGTTATGGAAAAGGAAACCCTTAACCAAGACAGCAATGCCAAACGTAAAAAAATAAGGCAAATAGATTACGGGGATTTATTCAAAATGAAGCAACAAAGTCCAGAGGTCATAGAGCTTTAACATCATTAGAAAAGGCCTCCCCCTAGATTTCAGCTCAATTCTGGTCTCCCTATTCCAGAATGGCATAAATTTGTTAAAAAACAATTTAGCTAGGATGAAAATTAATACATAGCATTAGAAATCTTCTCAGAAGAAAGATTGAAGACCTTAAATTCATTCACTTTTTAGACGAAGATAGGGGAGACCTGATCAAGTGTTAAGTGGAAGATAGGTTTTAATAAAGGGGGAAATTTAACAAGGGCTTGAGTATCTCCCAAGAGAGAACCCGCAGTTGGATTTAAATTAGATAAGTTTAGATTTAGAAGGACATAGGAAAGTATTGGTTTGGAAATAGGGTAGTTGATGAGTGGAACAGTCTACCTAGTTGGGTTATTGAGGCTAGGACTTTGGGTATTTCAAATTTAGGTTGGGTAATACATTGGGGGGGGGTTTGGGTTTGAGTGGGATTGCACATCAGAGCTTATTTCTTGGGTAGCATTGAAAATTGGGTTGGTCAAATGTTTGTTAGTGGGATGAATTGTAAAGGACCTGCCTAGTATAGGCCAACAGGCCTGCTGCAGTGTTCCTCCTTTCTTATGTTCTTATGTTAAGATACACAGGGCAGCATATATTGTCAGTGGCCCTATATACATCCAACAACATTGGAGGAGTCAGTTTCATGTCGTCCTTTTTCCATTGGTTAATTTCTACACTGTTAATGCTGCACTTTATCACTGGCTGGCGCTATAGGCCTTATCAACTCCTGCTGCTTTAGTATCATACATATCGTAGAATCATTGAATCACTCAAGAAGGCACATTCTCCCCTCTCTCTTCCTCCTTCACTTTCGTACTTTGCTAGAAGTTCTTGCTTGAATTCTATCATGTTTCTCACTTTCTTTACCAAAGGGTTGTCACTAGGAACTTTTTTTGGGCCCATGGTGGCTTATTTCACAGTTGCACTCAATCAATAACCACAAAAAACAATGGATTATAGCGAAATGTTTGGATGAATGCGTGGAATCTTCCTCACTTACCCAGAGACACAGCCAGACCGACTCACGAATGCGGCGGAGCGGTGGGTGGACACGTCCAATATGGCCGATCTCCAAAATAACAGCCGATAACCGGGATAGAATTTTGGCCAAAAAAGCAAGCGAAAACCGAAATGACCTATATCCGGAACAGCCGATAACCAAGGGTCCACTGTATAATGATCCTCCTTCAAATTTTTTATACAGTGGAACCTCAAATATCGAACATTCTTCGGTCCAGAAGGCTGTTCGAGTGCCTTTACCGAATGAATTTATTCCCATCAGGAATAATGTAAATTAGATTAGTCCATTTCAGACCCTCAAAAATACGCTTATAAAAGCACTCACAAAAATACACTTACATAACTGGTTGTGTTGGGAGCAGTTCGATTTTTGAGGTTCCACTGTACTCAATTTAACCCTTTGAGTGTTTTAGTCGTTTATATACGAGCCACAGTTTTTGACGTATATATCCTCATAAATTCTAGCGGCTTCAAATCAAGCAGGAGAAAGCTGGTAGGCCCACATGTGAGAGAATGGGTCTGTTTGGCTAGTGTGCACCATATAAAAAAAATCCTGCAGCACGCAGTGCATGAGAAAAAAAAACTCAGACTGTTTTTTTTAATTAAAATACCGACTTTGTGGTCTATTTTTGTATAGTACACCTACCATCCGACTTATGACCTGCTCAACTTACGACCACTCGACTTACGACCGTGTTTTTTATGCCAAATTTCTGGGAAATAAACAACTATTTGTGTTGTACACAGTGTTTATCCTAAACCTTGCAGTATAAAATACAGTACTAACAGCATAAAAAGTAAAGTAAAACATGAAATACCAAAATAAAACAATAAAATAAAGTCATTACAAAAATGTTTTGTTGATATTCAGTATTAAAGTTCGACTTACGACCATTTCGACTTACGACCGATTTCTCGGAACCGAACTTGGTCGTAAGTCGGATGGTAGGTGTATTTATGGTTGTTTTCTCGTTTTCTTGGTCTCATTTGACAGAATGAAAAACATATTATAGAAATAGAGGTGATTTTGAGTAATTTTACTATGAAAAGAGCCTTGAAATGGAGGTCAAAGCAGGGAAAATGTCTGATTTTTGCCGATTTTTAAAAGTAAACAAATGTCCAAGTAGCCATTCTAATATGCAGTCATGAATGGTTTGACATTATTTACACAATTATTACAATATTGCAGTAGTCTGCATAACAGTAAATCTTCTATTTTTTGTTTTAATAAAAATTCAAAATAGAAAGCAAGAGTAATATCAGAGGGGCCTGGAGACATGAGTGATGAACAAAGAAAATGTTATTTTAGAGCCAGGAATGTCTGCATTGTTCATTCTATACCCTATTTTGAAATTGTCATATTTTTTAATTTTCATGAAATTGGCAAAATTGCAAATTTCTGACCACGTTATTGGGTAGTTGAAATCGGTAAATGGGCAGTTTCTTGTACTCAATCAATAGAAAAAATGGAGTTCTAAAGAAACAGCTATGAGTTTGGTCGACTGGAACAATGGAATGAGCCGAAAATAGGGCTCAAAGTGGGTGAAATCGCCGATTCATAAATATCGCCGAAGTCGCTAACTTCGCGAGAGCATAAGTCCATCAGTTTTCCATCAAATTTCGTTCTATTGGTGTCATTACAATCGGGAAAAGATTCTCTATTATTTCATAAGATAAAATAGTTTTTTCTTTTTGGAAATTTTGGGATGCCAGGAGACACAGTCAAGGGGTTAAAATAAAAAGCTACATTAACTAATTTATTAATAGCACATAATATAATACTTACCAATCAATTTATAGTAAATTGGTACATACACATTTGCCACTCTGCCAGCAATCAGAAGTAAAAAGCAAATGATAACTGCCAACTGCAGCAACATGCTCTTCTTGGGCCACATGAAGGGAAACAAAACTCGCAGCTTTTTCCAGGTGTTGCGCCATGTTGACCCTTGACTGTTTACTTGATTCTGTGGCTGATCCTGAGGGACAGTAAACATAAATTGTTACACTCACAATGAAAATAATTTTGTGTTTGAGAAACTTATCTTTTTTAATTTGAAAAGATATATCAGCATAATTCATAAATCTTTAACACACTGGCGTTTTCCAACAAGGAATAGCAACTCAAAGAGTGCATTTATCATTACTAGCTCACAAGTTGTCTATGATGAAGAGAAGACATCACACTCCAATAATAACCCACCAAACTACAACATACACAATTGACTTTCAAGGTGCAGGTACTGTACTGTACTTCATCTGTACTGTACTTCATCTGTACTGTACTTCATCTGTACTGTACTTCATCTGTCCTGTACTTCATCTGTACTGTACTTCATCTGTACTGTACTTCATCTGTACTGTACTTCATCTGTCCTGTACTTCATCTGTACTGTACTTCATCTGTACTGTACTTCATCTGTCCTGTACTTCATCTGTACTGTACTTCATCTGTACTATACTTCATCTGTACTGTACTTCATCTGTACTGTACTTCATCTGTACTGTACTTCATACTGTACTGTATCATCCTTATACTCCAACTGAATTTCAAAGCCTAAAAATTATTTACTTCCACTCACTCTAATCTAACATACTTACACATGCCTGCTGGATACTCAAGCAATTACCTCTCAAAGTTTCCTTTACACTCTTCCTTGGTCATTTGCTATTCCTTCCAATCACTTCAGTTTTATACACCTTAATCATCCTATCTTAATCCACCAATTCTATATGACCAAACCATCTCAACAATCTCTTTACCACACTTTGAATTTTACCTTTCATACCACCACACCAGTTATTAATTGCATCATTCCTTTCTGCATAATATTCACACCAAAAACAATTGATCTCTGACATGACATTTCCAACCTCTTCTATGCAACATTCAAATTCCATGATTCACATTCATACAAAAAGTATCATCATCTATATTCATCTTTCATACACTCATCTGCTGACATATCCACACCCAAGTACAGTGGAACCTGTACTTGCGAGTTTAATCCGTTCCATGACCTTGCTTGCAACTGGATTTGCTTGTTTGCACAGTCAATTTTCCTCATTTAAATTAACTGAAATGCAATTAATCCATCCCAGTGGAATTCTGTACTTCAATAATTTCACTAATATCAACTCAACGGCTTATTTATCTATCTCACTTCATCTAATATGACATAATAAACAATATAAATAACATAGAAACCTGATATATACTCTAAAATGAATAAAATATGTCATTCATGTAGTGGTAAAGGCAGTGTCGGCGGTGGACGAGTTTGTCTGGAGAACGGGCAAAATACTTCATGAATAATTTTGCTAATATCATCTATACGGCTTATTTATCTATCACAGTTCATCTAATATAACATAACAAACAATATAACATAGAAACGTGATATATACTCTAGAATGAATAAAATATGTCATTCATGTAGTGGTATGGGCGGTGTCAGCGGTGGATGAGTTTGTCTGGAGACCGGGCAAAATACTTCATGAATAATTTTGCTAATATCATCTATACGGTTTATTTATCTATTATAGTTCATCTAATATGGCATAACAAACAATATAAAAACATAGAAACATGACATATACTCTAGAATGAATAAAATATGTCATTATGTAACAGGTGGAGGCAGCCACAACCGCTCCCTCTTTGTTGTGGTAAACACTGCCATCTAGTGACGGCCTTTTGAAGCCGTCTGTTATTATAATTATTATATGTAGTACATTATTTTTTTTTTCTTATTCGCCGGTATTCTCCCGGCCCAGGTCTTTTCCAAGTAGTGGTGACCCGGCCTTGGCTCCCTATCTGGGGAGTGTCTCGAGACCTAAGTTTCCCATGGGAGGAGGTACAAGTACCCCCTCATCTTTGGGACCAACTGTCCCCAGGCCTAACCACATTCCCCGCCCTCACGGGGCTCATAGGGAGAAGCTAGGCCTCTATTATTATTATGCGTATTATTATTATACATATTATTATACATATTATTTACATATTATTATTATTATATAAATAATTTGTAATTTTTATTCACACAAAAAATGTAAGATTTACTGTTGTTCCTTATTGCAATAATTGTATAAATAATGTCAACCCATTCATGACTGCATATTGGAATGGACAGAGACGTCATTTGTTTACTCTGAAACAGCCAAGCAATGGACTATTTCTCCTACGTTGAGCTCTATTTCAAGGTACTTTTCGTTGTGAAAGCAATTAAAATCATATCTATTTCTGTAATATATCTCCATTCTATCAAATGAGACCAAAAAAACTAGAGTACAACCATAAAAACCATTCGAAATTACCACGAAGGGGTGGCTAATTGCTGAGAAGTGAACTCCATTATATATGCTTATATTTCTTTCATTTTTGGTGTACGTTAAGAAGCATCTTTCCATCATACATTCCCCAAGTTTCAATAAGATAGCCCAACAAACAAATGAGATACAATTCCCGAGATCAAGAGCAAGAGTCCCTCACCAGTGTCACAGAACCTGCCTTGAGGTCTGCTCGCGTGTGGAAGCAAAAAGTCGACCCATCGACTGCTCGTATTTGGAAAAACTTGCATGTGGACACACTTGCAAGTGGAGGTTCCACTGTATCTAAATACAGTGGACCCCCGCTTAACGATCACCTCCCAATGCGACCAATTATGTAAGTGTATTTATATAAGTGCGTTTGTACGTGTATGTGTGAGGGTCTGAAATGGACTAATCTACTTCACAATATTCCTTATGGGAACAAATTCGGTCAGTACTGGCACCTGAACATACTTCTGGAATGAAAAAATATCGTTAATCAGGGGTCCACTGTACATTTCCTTCCTTCCACTATATGCCTTACTTTCATGCTAATCTTCCATTTTTCATTCCAGAGATTTGCACTTACTCTTATCACACTGCTCTTCTCATCACTCATCAACTTGTTTTAACATTCTTCACATTTTGTTAACTTCTTTTTTTCTAAGTCTATCAAACCACATATCTTCCTTAAACTCTAGTACATATTCACATTTTTTTATATTTCAAATTAATCCTTAAACTGTGTACAGCATACTATATACGAAATGCCTTGTGGGAACTCAACAATATAATATATGTATACAGTGGTCCCTCATTTATCGTCGTTAATCCGTTCCTGGAAGTGCGACGATTATCGAAAAAGACGATTTTCAAATCAATTTTCCCCATAAGAAATATTGTAAATACAATTAATCCATTCCTGACACCCAGAAGTATTAAAACAAAATTTTTTTTTACATGATATATAGATGTAGTTTTTCTTCTTCTTTTTAGTAAATATCTACAGGAGAAGGGTTACTAGCCCATTGCTCCCGGCATTTTAGTCGCCTCATACGACACGCATGGCTTACGGAGGAAAGATTCTTTTCCACTTCCCCATGGACAATAGAAGAAATAAAGAGGAACAAGAGCTATTTAGAAAAAGGAGAAAAACCTAGATGTATGTATATATATATGCATGTGCATGTCTGTGAAGTGTGACCAAAGTGTAAGTAGGAGTAGCAAGATATCCCTGTTATCTAGCGTGTTTATGAGACAGAAAAAGAAACCAGCAATCCTACCATCATGCAAAACAGTTACAGGTTTCTGTTTCACAGTCATCTGGCAGGACGGTAGTACTTCCCTGGGTGGTTGCTGTCTACCAACCTACTAGGAGGGGTGTTAATGTTGCAGTTTAAAAACTGTAGTGTAAAGCACCCTTCTGGCAAGACAGTGATGGAGTGAATGATTGTGAAAGTTTTTCTTTTTCGGGCCACCCTGCCTTGGTGGGAATAGGCCAGTGTGATAATAAAATATAATATATAGATGTAGTACATAACACAATGGGACATGATGAATGAAACATTAACAGCATAACACTTACCTTTATTGGTGATTCTTCTTAGTGTATGGAAGACTGGAGGAGGAGACAGATTGGATTAGTTACTGTTTGGAAGGGAAATCCCCTTCCATCAACACCTCAGGTGCCAAGTGCTTTTCTGGGGTTACTTCTCTTCTGTTTCTTAATGCCACTAGGACCAGCTTGAGTGTCACTGGAGTCCTGTCTCACAAAAAAAGTGTCCAGAGAGCTCTGTTTCTGGCATTTCTTTAAAACTTCCCTAAAATGGGCCAAGACTCTGTCACTGTACAGGTTGCCGATATGGCTTGCAACATCCTTCTCAATGTGATGTTTCTCCATAAATCTTTCCATCCTACCCCACATTTCACCATGTCTTATCACACTGTGTATGCCACTACGCTTCTTAAATCTCTCAAACCAACCTTTGCTGGCCTTAAATTCACAATTATCAGTACTCGTTGCAGGCAATTTCTTTACCAGATCGTCATGCAACTGCCTTTAGCTTTTTCACAAATAATTAAACGTCATAAGGGGAATTCCTGCTAATTTTTTTCTCTTTTAAATCCATACCAATAATAACTTCTAAAAATCTTCGAGTACTGGTAAACCTCTTTTTTCTCAGTTTTTTCCCCCTTTTTACAACAACAGTTTCCCTTGTTTCCCCTTTTTCCCTTGGCCACGAGGGAAAGATAGGGTTTTGAAAGGGATTTGTTTTACATCTGGCCATTTTGGCCACACACAGGGCCCACTTTCATATTGTTCAATGATGTTTTTTTAAATTCAATCATATTTCCCCATTTTCCCTTTCCCAAAGGCTTGGCACTAGGGAGCTTTTTTTGGGGACCCAAAGGTAGTTATTTAGCATTTCCCAAGCACAAAAAAATGAAGGGAATATTATGAAATTTTTTCGTTATGAACAAGTGGGGGACCGTCCCCTCACTGGTAAACAATGGCAAAACTGCGGGGAAAGGGGGGGCCGAGGGGGCCCTCAGAGGGAGTAAGCGACGGGGAAAAAGGGACGATTAGCGGGGAAAAACCGCCCATTTCGACCAAAATGTTTGGCGAGAATAACACAATGATTTCCAAAAAGGACGACTATCGAGGGGA